CCAGGGAGCCGGGGGTTAAGGGCCTTGGGGCATCCAGGGAGCCGGGGGTTAAGGGCCTTGGGGCATCCAGGGAGCCGGGGGTTAAGGGCCTTGGGGCACCCAGGGAGCTGGGGGTTAAGGGCCTTGCTCAAGGACTCGCAGACATGCAGAGGCTAACAGTAACTCCTTAGAAAATTAGTACAGGCAACCATCTCTGACCTAACACTCGAAAGAAAGTAAGAAAACTGGTGGTTAGACTGTCGGAAGCAATAACCAGACTGACCATTTGTTTGGAGTAAGTGTTTCTGGTAAAACTGTATTTCTCTGTAAAAACACTTATTATGCTCCATAATTTATTAGCATCTTAGAGCGTATGAGTGTAGCTGCTAAGCAGCTTTGCTATGGAATACATAAGAGGCAATGAGTAAAGTACAGATAAACTGGAACAAAAATAACCACATAAATATCAAAAACTGCCAACCAGAGTGTTTGCTGTGGAATGGCGGCTGTGACCTCCTGAAGAGACCCCCAGTGCAGGTAGCATAACCTACAATTTATTTATATCCTAGTCAATTCCCAGTAGAAACCACCTAGCTAATCTAAGTTTCCCAAATCAAATATCACACTTCATAAAAAAGTTATGTGTATAGATGGAAAATACAGTTGCAATCAAAACAATTCAACCCCTTTTGCCAGAAGAGAGTCTGGTGATGTAAATAAAATTGTATGAAAAAATTCCTAGCAAAGCTTCAAAAAACAGTCAATAAATACAGTGGTACCTCAGAACTCTAACTTAATCCGTTCAGAACTCGGGTTTGAATCCTAAAAAGTTCGAGTTGTGATCGAATTTTCCCCATAAGAAATAATGTACAGTGTATTACCTGATATTTTCAATTAAAAAAAAGCACTACCACCAAGAAACAATGCTGTCACAGCGAATGCGAGGCTGAGACTGAAGCGTTACCCTTTGTTTCCGCTGAGAGACGTGCCGCATGACTCATTTCCCTGCGCGTACAAGTTATCTTAGGTCGGTGTTCACGGTTCGACTTCTGAGATTCAGATCGAGTTCCAAGTCATTTTTTTTTCGAGCTGGTTGATTTGACTTTTGAGAAATTCGAGTTCTAATGAGTTTGAGTACTGAGGTATCACTGTATTTGAGTGATTCTTAGGAAATTTAAGTTCAAATGTTAAAAATTGAGTTCCCTCGACAAGCACCTGTGTGAGTACTCATTCAGTCCCCAAAACCACTAATTTGTACAGTAGTTAACCCTTCATAATCTCCATTACATATTTCCTTTATGTGCTCACATGTTCTTTGACACCTCTCTCTTCCAATCATAGCCCATTGTTTGTGAGCAGATGCTTCCAGCTCACTTATATTCCACGGTTTCCAGGCTGCCACTGGTTTATTTAAATCCCACAAAATATACCACATGGACAAAATTGGCCATTACACCTACAGGAACTTTTATGACATCAGATTCTAAATCCATAGGTATCAATATGGAGTTGGTCCCTCCCTTTGCAGCTGTAACAGCTGCCTCTCTTCTGGGAAGACTTTCCACAAGATTTTGGACTGTTCTGTAGGAATTTTTGCCCATTCATCCAGAAGAGCATTTGGGAGGTCAGGCACTGACGTTGGACGTGAAGGCCTGCCTTGCAATCTCACTGGAACAGCAAAGGGCCTCTTCCCCAAACTGTTCCAACAAAGTTGGGAGCATAGAATTGTCCAAAATGTCTTGGTATGCTGAAGCATTAAGAGTTCCCTTCCCTGGAACTATGGGGCCTAGCCCAACCCCTGAAAAACAACCTCATACTATTATCTCTTCACCAAACTTTACATCTGGCACAATGCAGTCAGGCAGGTAACGTTCTCCTGGCATCTGCCAAAACCAGACTCATCCATCAAACAGCTAGACAGAGAAGCGTGACTTGTAATTCCACAGAACACGTTTCCCCTGCTCCAGAGTCCAGTGGCAGTGAGATTTACACCACTCCATCCGACGCTTGGCGTTGCACTTGGTTGTGTGAGGTTTGCATGCAGCTGCTCGGCCATGGAAGCCCATTCCATGAAGCTCCCGGCATACAGTTTGTGTGCTGGGGTTAATGCCAGAGGAAGTTTGGAAGTCTGCAGTTACTGAGTCAGCTGAGCCTTGGTGACTTTTACTCAATATGCGCCTCAGCACTCGGTGACCCCACTCTGTTACTTTACATGGTCTGACACTTCATGGCTGATTGTTGTTGTTTCTAAATGCTTCCACTTTGCAAAAATACCACTTACTGTACAGTTGATTGCGGAATATCTGGCAGGGAAGAAATTTCACGAACTGACATATTGCAAAGGTGGCATACTACAGTATGACAGTACAATGACTGAATTCACTGAGCCCTCCAGAACAACCCATTTCTTCACAAATGCTTGTAAATCTGACTGTATGGCTGGGTGCTTGACTTTATACGCCTGTGGCAGTGGGGTCTTGTGAAACTTTAAGTGTCTTGGAAAGCTTCTTGTAGCTGCCGTCTTTTTTTGTACAATGCAATTACTTCTTCTCTCAGCTTACGTAAGGCCTTGTTTTTATTTGTCATGTTTGCGGCTCAGCTAGAAGGAGTGCATAGGCTTGATTTATACATCATCATAGCTGTAAAAAAATAAGTGTCAGATTCACAGCCCCAAGTATTAATTGCTTAAGCTTTGTAGACTCACAGACTATTGTGTTTTTTTTTGTTTTGTTTTTTTTTTATTGAATGCAGGTGATATAATTATGATATGGCTGCATTATGACATTTTGCTGTTGGACACATTACCTCATACATTTTCATTAATCATATAGATACTGTATATCACTCAAATAATACAGATGTACAGTGGTACCTCAGTACTCAAACTCATTAGAACTTGAATTTCAAAGTCGAACCAACCGGCTCGAAAAAAATGACCTAGAACTTGATCTGAATCTCAGAAGTCGAAATGTGAACGCCGACATAAGATAACTTTTACACGCGGGGAAATGAGTCACGCGGCACGTCTCTCAGCGGAAACATAGGGTAACGCTTCAGTCAACCTTGCATTCGCTGTGATAGCATCATGCATGTTTACACTAGCTGAATACATATATTTAAACAGTAAAAATACATTTAGACAATGATAGACAGTAACAGTAATTATTATTATTATATAATAAAATACATTTAAAAATAAAGATTTCTTATTAATTATTTTAATATCATTAATAATAAACCATTTATACATTTAATTATAATAATATTGTCATGCTGAGTGGGGACGGAACGGAGACAAAGGCGCAGACGTCAGGGTATCGGGGAATACGGGGTTTAATTACAGGTAAGGCAGGCAAAACGCAGACGGACAATACAATGACCAGACTGGGAAACAAATTGAAACGCGGACTAAATACAGAGGACTAATGACAACAACCAGAAATAGAACACAGGGATTCCACACGGGGTTAACGAGGGGGCGTGGCACACGGAAGAAGCGGACAGATCGGAAGGATCAGGGAAGGATCAGGGCAGGACGCATAGTTTTTTTTTTAACTTTACACATTGTTTGGATACATTTATTTTCTTACTTTACAAATTACTGTTTTGATAAATGTGCTTAGATGTGTTTAGTACAGTATATGCTCTTCTTGTTCTATCCTGTTCATTTTGTGTTTAAATGCTAAAAAAACATATTTAGGTATAATTTTTTTAGGGCCGGGAACCAATTAATTGGTTTCCCATTATTTCTTATGGGGAAAATTCGATCAGAACTTTAGGATTCGATCCCGAGTTCTGAAAGGATTAAGTTTGAGTTCTGAGGAACCACTGTACTTTTTAAAGAATCAATCTCATCAAAAGAGTTTATATTTGTAACCCTTACAGTTTTAGTAGGGACTGTATAAATTTCACTGCAGTTGTAACTGAGGTGCTTTGGTCAACAGTGACACTTACATACAGATCGCTATGAAAAGAGGGACTTACTGTAAGTCTCAGTGTCTGGCTGAGCCATTGCACAGAGAAATAACACTTTTGCTCCCTCTGCTGGCTAACATTGGCATCATCACTCAGAGAACACAATGAAATTATCACGGTGTAAAGTTATCAATCTATAAAATAATTACATAACAGGCTTAACAGGCACCCTAAATCTAAACCATGGACCTGGTTTATAAAAACAAGGCACGCTTATTCACAATCATTGATTCGTAATAATCAAATTCATTAAACTGGGTAGAGAAAGGTAAGGAAATAAATGACACTCTCCAGTCTTAAGGGTATAACGACATGCATTAGGGTCAGCAGGAGGCAGAATAGTTCAAATCCACAGGAGGCCAGCGCTGCTGTCATTGGACAGGTAATTCACTGAAAATACGCCTCTAAAACTGGGCAGATTTTTAATTGTGCAATATGATGCAGTAGTTACTGTAGCTCTGTTCCCTCACACCTCGGGAGACCAGGGTTCGATTCCCGGCCCCTGTGGAGTTTGCATTCTCTCTCCGTGTCATCGTGGGTTTTCCCACAATCCAAAGACATGCTGAAGTGAACATGAGTTACCAAATTGTTCATAGGTATGAATGATGTGTGGACCCTGTGATGGGTCGGTGCCCCAGCCTGGGTTGTTCCCTGCCTTGTGCCTGAAGCTTGTGGGATAGACTCCGGACTGTGCATAGGGTAAATAAGTATGCAAAACACATGGAATTTCAGTTTAATGAAAGCCTCTGTTTATGGGCAGGGGTGAATAGTTCAGGTCTAGAAAGTAAAAATCCAGACCAAGATTTAGCTTCAACCAACCAGTTGAGTATAAAGAGTTACAGTCACACAGTCATCAACTGGTTGGTTAAAACAAAAACCTTGGTTTGGATTTTTAGTTTCTGGACCTGAACTATATATAGTTGCTAAAACGATTATACATTAGAGAACCGGATCTGGGCAGTACAGCAAGCACAGGGTACAGGGCGGG